TAATTTATCAGCTGGATGATGTGGACAGGACAAAAACTTGATCATTTTTTCATTTTACTGATTATGCTAGTATCCAAAGATGGCTTGTGCCCTCAAATTCATTATTTTGAAACAGAGAGGTAGACAGTGAAGCCTAAGGGGAAATCAAGAGGAATTTATGCTGATGTTTGGGATGACAATCAGCAAAGTCAACACAACACAGAACAAAGGACACAAATTCCCAATTTCATTAACCAATTTGTACCAGGAGCTGTGCACATCACCCACATCTGCTGTGCCAAGGACACCATCAGGCTGAGCATCTTCTGCCAGCTGGTCCAGTTACCTTGACAGCTTGATTATTACTCTCATTGTCATTTTTTAAATAAAAGTGCAAATTCTACCCAGCATGAGGAATTAACTGAATGTTTGCTTCTTGACCAAAAGGGCCTGAGCATGACAATGAAAGGTTTCTTCATGCAGCTGCAGTGTTTGGGGCAAGACATATGGTCTCTTTGTTTTAAACAAATACAAACCTCCAAATTAGCTGTATATAGAATATGTAAATCAAGCTCCCCTTTTCCCCTTCCCCTCAACTGCTTTGTAACAGAACTACTTGGAAGAGAAAAATCCCAAGGGGTGGGGATGTCCCACTCACATCCGGGCTTGGGCAACGCAGCAAAACGTTCAGCTTCACCTCCCTCAGCCACAGTTATTAGGACCTGAGGTTTATTTTGTTATTTCTTTGTGGCAGTTTGTGGCATTTGGTTTAAGAATGTGTGGCAGAGTCCGAGGGATATCTGAGGGTACTTTCACCTGCTCAAAAATTTATCTTTGCCACTCCTGCTGCCCTTGGCTGGGAATATTGGCCCATCAGAAAACTGCTTTTCTCCTGAGTTTTCTCACTCTGTCCTTGACTCTTCTTATAAAAAGAAGAGCGAAAAGTTGATCAATCCAAACCTATTAAAAATAACATTACAAACCATGCCCTTTTCCCCCATGGCAAGAAAACTTACCTGTGCTTACTGAAGAGATTACAAACAGAAAATAAATGAATTTTCCAGCCAGGTACTTGGAGGTAGGTAGAGCCATTGTTCAGGATTTTTAGTTCTCTGGTTGGATACCTGTGAAAAAAAGAATATCAAGGAAATGACACTTTTTGTTTGTTTGTTTTCCAGCCCATTCACTACACAAAATAATAAAAAAAGGAGGTTATATCCAGCTGTATGCCAGATCACACCCACTCCCCTTCAGCTTGATGGCTGAGAACACCTTTGCACCGCTCCAGGACCAGCCTGAATAGAGCGAGGAGCCGTGGGCAGCTCCTCACCCTTTGTTTGGTTTGGGATAAACCCACTCGGGAATCCAAATAGACACTCAGAAAGCAGCCACCAGCTGTAACCAAAAACGCCCCAGGAATGTGGTATAAACACATCCAGTGTCAGGACTCTCTAGGGCTGCATATTCACATGTGCTAAAAAGTAATGAAACCCAACAGAGGAGGCGTTTGCAGAGTGACAGATTTTCGCGAAGGAACCTTTCGGCGGCACCTCTCTCCCCCCTCCCCGAACTACCCACACATTTTTAGCAATGGTGTTTTGTGTACCCCGGAGATAAACCGTACTCACACTTCCAACCCGAAGCCTGCAGTTTCTTAGATTTCAGATCTAAGAAAATATTGTCTGTTTAGTGTGCCAGCTCAGAATTTTCTTGCAAAACCAAAAGCTGCTTTTGAAACCAGTCTACCTAATGTTGTTTTTGTTTCTTCCATAGCCAACCCCCAGCAAAAACAAACAAGCAGTGTCATGAAAGTCAAAGTTAGAATTAATGTGATTCTCCCTGGTCTCCAGTGATTGATTCTGCAGCTCTGCCTCAGGCTCATGACAATTTATTGACATGTGTATTCACAGGGAGGCAAGGACACCCACTTCTGTATTCATAAGGCACTGTTTAAAATTCACATGTAGTCCTTGGAGCCTTTAGGTTTTATCATATAAGCCAGCGCCTGAGGAATATCAAAGACGCGTATTTGTAACTGTCATGTCACATCCCACTGATGAAACAGGATAAATGTATGTGTCACTCCGCTTAGTTTGACGCAAAAATAAGCATAGAAAAAAAATTCCAGGGTGCCCCAATTTCTTTAGGGCAAAAAACACGTTATTTTTCATGTCACTTGTTAATATGAGCTAAACAAAAAAAACCAAAACAAACCTTGAGAAAATGACATGGAAGAAGCCAGGATTTCGTTGAGCAAATTTTGCAGTGTATATATGCAAAACACGTCTGTACTTTTCGTAAAGGTGATACAGCTCAAAGTACAATGATAGGTTCAAACCACATGTAATTCAGTGATTGTATTAAAAATAGCATTAGAACCAGATTTTACAGGAAATATTTCAGCAGGGAAATGTCTGTTTGCTTTGGTATAGTGTATTTGAGAGCCTTGAGCTCTGGAAACGGCAGAGACTCAGGACTTGGTACAGTCTATCAGGTGCTGAAATGCTGCTACAGAGCAGTAGAAGAGAGGAATGCACTTAGCAACGCTATAACTTTGAATGATATACATTATCAGAGAGCAATGCTGTCGCCATGGAATTTGTGCCAGAACCAGCCTGCACGTGTCTGACATTTTAACAGCATTAGCCATCAACGTTTGATAAACCAGAGCCCTTTTAAAGAAACATTATTAGAGGTATGCCCAAAGTACAGCAGTCACCACTAAAATGTCAAGATTTATTAGTGATTATTACACAGCCTGGTCTGCAAACCCAGTCACTGGGTTCTGCTTTAACGATAGAGGAAGAACTAAACAAGAGGTAATACCACAGAATGGTCATTGCAGAAAAACAGTGTTTCTTAGAGCACAGACACAACCGTATGTTAGTGCTGCATAAAGCCAGATTCCAACTGGTAAGGTTTCTGTCATAAAATAAATTCAGATGATATAAGAGTCCACAGGAATAAAAAGAAGGGACCAATTATTTTGGCAGCGATGGCATGCATTTGCTCTCCTGTTATTTCATAGGTAGCAAAGAAATGTAAATGTCTTTGTTCTGGCCTATTACAAGCTCAAAGGAGTGCCTCTGCTCTGTCCAGCTCATGAACTTGTTTCTGACACAAACTTGTGGCAAACTGGTAGGAAACTAATTCAAGAAATTCCTCAGCCTTTGCTTTCTTTAGGGCCAAGAACTGCACAGCACTTACCATCAGGTTGTGCAAAATGGCTTCTGGTTTTATATCCCCAGTTGCTCACCAGGGACAGCTTCCCTGATTGCATCCATCTTCATCAGCAGAGATCAAAACAAGCAATCAGACACTGGAAAAAAGTGTCATTTTTGGAGGTATCAGCTGTGTGCCAAGGCTCCGATGTTTTCGCAGTGTCTGATCTGCCACAGTCCAAAGAATATCCTGCTTATTTTGTGACTGAGGTAGGGTGTTTGATTCGGCTCGCAGCGAGCCCAAGTTCATTGCAGTGTTAGTATTAACTGGCACTTGGGTTGGAAAGGCTGAGAGCCAAGAGGACCAAGAGGATCCGACTCCTCTGATTCAGCTCTGACTAACACATGGCCGCAAAAATGCTGCTCGGGGGATAATCTCAGGAATTTTCCTTCAAAACCTCTCAATTAAGCATGTTTCCCAAAACCTTAGGCACAAGCAGTGACACGTTTGATTTTGCTGTTCAGTATGGGAGGAGGAAGAGATAGTGACTCTCCTCTTTACTGCCTGCTGCTGGAGCGGGCTCAGGAGCAGCTGCCTCCTGCCAGCCGGCGCTTCCTCAGCTCGGTGCTCGAGCCGCGTGGGGATACAGCAACACGCTGCATCCCGCTTGAACAGGCGCCACGTGGCTGACTCCAGCTCTGATGTAACCACCAATGTCAACAAATCTCTCCCTCTGCAGATTCGGGCACTCCGAGAGCATAAGGGCCATACAAGTGTCCGCCTAAGCCTGTCATCTCCAGCATTCCTCAAATACCATCTGGGACTTCTCTCTTGGGTGAGAAAAGCATTTATATCCAGCCATTAAAAGCTGCCTGGCAATGGCGAAGTGGGACTCATATCCCTGGATCTGGCAAGGCAGACTCTCTGAAATGATTCCCAGCTGCTGAATCTTTCCAAAAAGTGAACAATAGCAGCAGACAATGCTAAAAGTAGATGCAGGAAACCATTAGTCTTCAGCTGGCTGCTACTGCAGGTGTCAGCAGTGATACTGTACTAGAAAGCACATTACAGAGAGGAATCCCTATCCACTGCCCTCCCTGTGATTTCAGTGCTGGAGGCAACACACAGCAGACAATCCTGAGAACAAAACAGTCAAGAAATGCTCCAAGAAAGCTGGATTGTCACAGGCATCATGGTGAGGTCACACAGACATCCTGAATCCCATGGTCAGAGCAGAGCTTTCTGGAATGGTACCACCAGTCATTCAGAAACACACACCAGGCTCCCACCTTGACTTGCCACCTGGCACAACTCTGGGCCAACCACCTGACAACAAAATTTTTAGAAGTAACTCCCAATACTGAGTGTTTTAAAGCGCTTTTTAAGACTGGCTTGACACTCTTTGGAGGTTGTACCTTCAGCATCTACTGGAGATGAGCTCCTTTCAGTGTGTCAAGCAGGGCATAGTGGGAGCATTAACAATCCATAACAAACATGACAAGGACAGGAAAAAAACCAGCAGCTGCTTGGTCTCCCCGGAAAAAGATATCAGACAGAGGCAAGAAACTGTGTGGCTCCTGCTGCCAAGCAAGAGAGACCACTGACCTGTATGGGAGCAAAGCAAGGATCTGGTACCATCCCCAGAGGAGAGCAGGTAAAGCTCACAGGAGAAAGGTGCCTTTTAGCCTGAGGGGGAGTGAACTGTCAGCAGACACTAATTTGCACAGCTGCTTGAGATGACATGTGAGTAAAATCTGTGTTCCCCCAGGATCACCTGTGCGAGGTGAAATGCTGTGGGAGACCCTGATGGGTCAGTGCCAGGGTCGTGGGTGCCCCCCCCTCCATGTCCAGGTGGCCAAACCTGGACCCTCTCACAGCCATTGCTAATGCTGAGGGTGCAGTGGTTTGATAGCTAGGTCTGAAGCCTTGCTGCATGTTTCCTCATGCATATGCAAGGATGCCAACATCGATTTGGAAGCTGATCCTGAGAGAGGGAGGAGCTGTTTAATTAGCACCTCTGCTCCCTTTTTGCTGACATTGCGTGGTCCTCTTGCCCTGCTCGTGGAATTTTGCATTTTAGCCCCAGCTGGGAAGATAGATTTGAGGTGCACATTTGCCTTTCTGATCCGAGGACGTGCCAGCACTTGCTACAGTGACATTCCTATGCAGGGGGAGCTTTCGCACACCCAGCCAGAGGCACAGCTAAAACCTTCAGAAAATAAACACACGCATTTCTGGGGGTCACTAATGAAAATGCTTTTCAGTCCCAACCCGTGGCGTCAGTGTAGCTACCTCTGCTCCACATCTTGCTCTCATGCTTGCCACCCACACATCAGCTGCTCATTTTTACTAGCAAGAAGAGGAGGATTAAACTCAGGAACAGACTTTAATTCTCAGTGAATCAATACTGGAGTCAAAAGCAGCACTTTGACTGTTTTTCCAGTGAACCTTGGTTTCTTACAAATTCATCTAATGTCTTTCCCAACAAGAAAGAAGGTTCTGCTCATATATTCTGTTTATAAATATCACTGTAAATTCCTTGATTCCTGATGCCCATAAAAATAGATTCTGAATTAGAAGCAGGAGATAGAGGAAATTTTTACAATTAATACATTAAAGAAAGCTAAGGTGTTTGCTTATTTGTTGCAACATTGGCACACTATTTTGAGACAGAAATAAAGGGGGAAGAGTTATTTTAAAGCTGTGCTTTTATTCAGAAGTACTCCTTTTTTTTTTTCCTTTTTTCTTTTTTTTTAGAGGCTTACAGACCTTGAAAAGGAAATTTTGGCTTCACTAAAACAAAATCACTCCACCCATCCGAGGCTGACTGACTCCCAGTTTCTCAAGCTTTCGAAGTGCTCAGAATTTCAGCATTTCACTGAATTAAACCCTCATCCACTGCATGAAGTTTTCAAAGCAGCAAAGTGTTGGGAAGCTGAGCCCTGCTTGCTGAGGTTCAGGGTGCACTGACTCTGCTGTGCCTGCTGACAGACATTCAGTGTATAGCCAAGCTCGTGCTTCCTGGGAGTGCCAGACCATGTGTGTTCCCACTGCAGAAACACTCTGGGGATAACCAGAACAGCTGTATACCCTGAATGCCTTAGATGTGTTGAACATGCCTGGATCAGCTGCAAGTCCACGAGGACAGGCACAGTCCATACGGACTCCAGCACCAGAGTGGGGATCCTCCCGCTCGGGAAATCCCCAGGAGGAATTCAGCAGCTTCCTACTAACACAATGCCCGTGCAACACTTACCTCACAGCTTCACACACACAGGCTCCTGATGCATGCCAAGTTAGCAGCAGCCTTTGAAAACATCGTCTTGAATGTGATGTCCCAAGGGTCCCTGGAGGAATTGTACCCTCTGCAGAGCGTCCCTGGTTTGAAGGCTTTTTTCCCTCCCAGGTAAGGAAAGTGTGTGCAGTGGCTGAAGAGGATCACAGCATCCTGAATCCTCTTCAAACTGCTGCTTTTAACTACCCGAATAACTGCATCAGGATGTAAATATTTTTCTTTTTGCTTTTGTGGTACTTCACTGTTTGCATCTGGCTCGCCACAACTCCACGCCTTCCTCTCCAGGACATTTGCCATTTGCTCTCCTTCTGGGGCGGGAGGAGGAATAGAAATTTTTCAGAGGTTTAGGCACATTCCTCTCCTTCCTTCACCAGGCTCTTCCTTTGCCAATTGTTTAGTCTCAGCCTGGGGTTAGAACTCTGCAAAGTTTTATTGGGATCCAGGGTCTGGACATGTCACAGATTATCAAATAAATCTCCAAGAAGCTAAAATCTTGCTCTGTAAGTACTTGTTCCAATGCTGGGCTTATGCTCACGAGCCAAAAATATCTTGCCTTTCTTCTCCTGTACAGCCTCAGAAATCATAACAATTAGGTACCAATAGGAACTCAAAAGGACTTCAGGGAGCTCCTTAGAGGGTCAGTCCCAGCTACTCAGGCTATTGTACCAATCCTCATCCCCAGGATGTCCCGTGCATCACACTTTGTCTTACCTGTACCGAGTAGTATCAGTGATTTCTTCACACTTTCTAGCAAGCCACGACCTCTCCCCTGGGCAAACCCGAGCCGCACCTCTCCTACCTGGTGTAGGGATGGAGCCACGGTCTCCTTCACTGCCCACAAACCTTTCAGATGTCCTCTCACCCCATTGTCCAAGGACCACGGGTGGTTTATGTCTGGAGGAGTCAAGCATCCCAGCCAAGGCGAACACAAAATCAGCTGGCCGGTGTGTGGATGCCAGAGCAACTAACTCACCAGGGAGCAAAAGTCTGGCCAACAAAACACTAACCTTTCCCTGTAGCAACTTGTTTGGCCATTTCTGAGAATTCCAGAGAAACAACGGGACGTTAATTACAAAGCTGTTACACCTACCTGTTTGAGTAAGCCATGAGCAGAAGACAGGGATAGTCTGAAATCACCTGTCCCTTCACTGCTGTCACCAAGTAATGTCATCTTTAAACCCAAGTGAGTCTGTCACCATTTTGGGGTAACTGTAGTCAGTGAGCTTAACTGTAGTCAGTGAGATAATCGGTTGTTTCTCACTTTGCATACAAAGCTCTGGTTTTGTCTTTACTTCAACCAGCAGCACATAAAAAAGCAAAGAGAATTAGCCACTCCTGCTGGTGGTATTTCAGACCTCAATGAGAGCAGAAAGTCAATACGAGCATTGCCTGAAAGGAACGCAAGACTTTACCCTAAGCAGCTCATACTTCATAGGTCTTTAATTAAATGTTCACATCAGTTGAACAAACATCATTTCACTAGTCATTAGCTTCAGACAGAAACATATTTATAACTCCTTGTTGCATCCTATGCATCCAGTTCAATTAAAAAACACTGTTGTAAGATCACTGCACACTGACCAAGCAAGTTGTTGAGTTCAGATAAGATACCATGGCAGATGGACACTTTGGTTTTTTTAAAAGCAGACATTAATGAAGCAAAAACAGGACTGAAGGGAGAAATTCCCTACCTCTGCTGAAGTTCATCTTTTTCCCTGGATACTGCTAAAATTTCCACGCCAAATTCCACTTCCAGTCCTGGGGTTACTGGAAAACAGGCTCTTTAAAACTTACCTTTTGACACCAAATATATTGAAATATATCACAGACATATTGAAACACTTCTCCCCCTACAGGGTGCTCCTGTTCTGCCCTGTGACGCTCCGGTTTTGAAATAAAGCTCTACCACAGAGAATGAGAATATATTTATTAGTTATAAAATATACAGGTGCACACCATTGGTTTGGTACAGCCTCGTAAGGACAGGAGCAGGTTTTGGTGAGGGTGGTGGGCTCTGCATGGCTGGTGCTCCCCAGCAGTGCTAACCCCGGGGTGCCACAGCCTTTGCAGGGGTGTGCTCTGAGCGGCTCTGAGAAAAAGCAAACCTTAGTGACTTATCAGCATCAGCTGGACATTGATACTCTTTCAGCTTCAAAGGAACATAATGCTGTAGAGAAGCAGCTTTCTGATAACCAGCATGATTAAGGACTTTAATCCAGGAGGGCTTGGCTTGTCCTTTATAGCCAAGCATGGCAAAACTCCCTGAAAAACAGACACAAAGAGAGTGACCCTCTGGGTGTGTCAGTTCATTTAGCAGCAGCACAGCACGGACTCCCTCCACACATCATGGAAACGTTTTAGCCCTTCTTTTTTTCCCTGGATTAATAAAATGGAGCATTTAGGAGAGAGAAAGGGTGATAAAAGAGGAAATGAGCCTCGCTGAAGCCGTAACCTCGCTGCATCACAAATCTGCAGATATTTCAACAGGCTAAACTAGGTACCCAGATGTCAGTTGCCAGGAATATTGTTTCACTCTTTATTTTTAAGTAAGACTGGTACTTTTTTTCATGTTTGACTACCTGAAAATGGTTAGACACTTTGAATCCTTCTTTTATTAGTTTACATCATTTCTTCCTGTTATGCCTAAACTATCCCCCATGTCGACTCTGCTCTGGTCCTCTGCTGTCCCAAAGTACAAAGGCATTATGTATTCTTCCATTTTAATAATAATGTCTTGTGTTTATATTATGCTTTTCATTGCAAAGGCTCCCAAGGCTATTTGCAGCTGGTTGGATCGAGACTATTCCCGTAAACACTTCTAATTTAAATAAGATTTTGCAAAACCAGGAAACAAGACCCTAAATCCTAATCCCACTGGGGTCAAGAGGGGTTTTTTTTGCATTATCCCTGGCAGAAGCAATGTGCACTTGGGAGAAATGCTCCAGCCTGCCCTGAAACACAGCTCCCCCAGTGAGGAGCAGTCCTGGAGCTGTGAAGTCAAATAGTGCACATACCTGAACCAGCAGGAAGAAGCTCATGGAGCAGAACATAATTACCCAGACTGGAAATCAGGGCAGACACATGGGTGAACACCCTTGCCCTTAGGAAAAGCAAAACAGGGGTGGCTTGTGAACAGCCAGCAGCAGCTTAGTCCCACTGCCAGTCACCAGCATCCCACCGAGGTGGCAGGGCAAGAATGTGGCCACCAGCCAGCATGTCCTGGGAGGGTGCTGGCCCTGCCTGCTGCTTTTTGTGCCCCAGCAGCAGGCAGGGCTGGAGGATGAACCAAGCACCCAAAATGGTCAAAGTGAGTGGCACATATGGTTCCAGGGGCCAAGTTTGTCCAAAAAAAAAAAAAAAAATTCCTTTTTAATCAAAAAATTCCTTTCAGAAGTATTCAGGGCTTTGATGAAAGAATGAAACAATGAAGTTTCAGGACAAAAACAACAACAAAAAAACAAAACCTCAAACTTTTGCTTTTCAAAGGATGAAACAAGAAACAGCTTCTTGGGAATCAAAACAGGCACCGAAGTGAAATCACTACCTTTCTTGTAAAGACCGTGCTGTCCTCCCCTGGAACGGTCACAGCGATGAGCTTTGAAACTTTGACCAGAAATTTATATAAATTTCAGTAAAGCAGTAGGGAAAAAAAATCCCCAAACTCCAAAGGAAAAAAAGAAGCTGGAAATACAGCCAATTTTCCATCTGATCTCTGTGTGAAGTCCTGAAATCTGAATCAAGCTGTCTGGCTGTTTTCTTGTTGCTTTATCACTCACATTATTCATCCAAACCTGGACTCAATAGCCCCTACTTTTCCAGGAGGAAACCCAGCATGGATTTCCTGGACCAAGGCTACCAATGGATTTCTTGCAGCAATCCAAGGTAAAATTGTAATAAGAACTTTTCCAAACTGTTGATTTCACCTTCCTTCTATCCAAAAAATAAATAGCTTCTATTTCACTGCAAGCTGTTTTCTTTTTCATCAACTTTTCAGGCTGTGCTTGTTTTTCCTCACAAAGCAGTAGAATTTTAGAGATGGAATCTTTATCAAAAGATTCTTTTTCTTTTTTTCCTTAGGAAAACAAACTCTCTTTAGGATGAAAAATTTGCAGCATGCAACTTCTCACAGGTGAAGTAGGGTGAAACCCCTGAAATAACTATCCTACTTCTCACTATCCCTAAGCCAAGAGGATTTTACTAGGTTTCACTGGCATATTGTGGCAGGAAATATATTGACAAGCACGGTGTAGATGTGTATACATTTTTGATTGGGAAACACCAGAATTACCGGTGTGTTTCCCAGCCCAGTAAAAAGCAAAACAAACATGGAAAGCAATAAAACGCATAAGAAACATGATGGAATAAATATATTTACCTCCCTTGTGGAAGACAATAGGCTTTGCTGAACCTAACCTGGTAAAAACAGACATTTCAGAGCTGCCCACCACGTCTGTGACACTTCTAGAGCACACAAGAACAAGTGATCTGAAAAACAGGACAGTGATTACAGCATGATTCCAAAATATTGCTTTCATTAAGAATCTTCAAGACCTTTAAGATCCAATTCTGTAAAGTACGTAAGAGCTTGCTTTACTTTAAGAACATGTTTAAATCCCTTTGATTTCAATCACATGTAAGCTTTCACAAGTTTAAGCCTCCATTTAAATGTTCCTAAATTAAACTTGTTCCTCAATTGGAATCAAAATAAGCACAAATGCCTGTGAGTGTATCCATCCCTTATGGGAGAGGGACACTCAGTTGCTGTGCAGTCCTGAGACTCTGAAACCATCTTCATTCTGGCTCTGATTTTCAATCAAGCTTCAGCCCGTCTCTGGTCCTCAGAGATGTGCTTTCAGCCCGCAGTGAGCTGTACCTGCAGTGAGTTACAGGCACAACTGGTTGCATTTAGCTGAATGCCTAGGCTTGCAGAAATACCCATCCTACCAGAAAAACAAACCAAATGTACAGACATCACATGGATATATGTCACTTTGTGCACATCTGATATGTGTACATACTCGTGTGCATAAATACAGATGTAATAACTCTGGGGTGTTTAAGTCGTTGGTCATAAACTGCTCAGAAATATCTTGGACTGAAAGTCTGTTTTCTGGTTATTTGACCTGCTTCTACCAGCAGCCAAGAATTTATCTACCGATCTCTGTTGTTCCCTGTTTGTGTGGCGACACATAAAACCACAGGGAATGTGGGACAGACACAAACAGAGGTGATCCAGACCATTGCCAGGACACACGCAAGGCAGGAGAGCCAGCAGGCAGGCAGGTCTGGTCATTGGCTTACCCAAGAAAAGTCCCACTGGAAAATCTGGCACACCTATGATTTTCATCTGCCACGAGAGGCAAAAACAATCAGTAAGAGTAAACAGAAATTGACTGGTTTCCGAAATGGAAAACTGAATCATTGGCTGCCAGGAAATGGCTGGACACTGGGATGGGTGTGCAGGATTGCAAGTGTCATTGCAAGGACTTATCTACTCCATGATGGAAAATGAGTGGTTTATTTAGAAGAAATTGCTAGTTTTCCAGAAAACCTGTTCCTGACTGCTCTAATCTGTACAATCCTGGGAGAGAGATGCTGCTTCTCTTATTATCTGGCTGATATTTCGGATTTGTACATGTTTAATCTGTGCCAGATTTCTTCAGAGCACAGGTTTGGTTATGAAAGTAGGTTGTTTTCCTTTCTTTATCTGTCAGCCACAAGTTGCTACATGGGCTGGGCTCTCAGCAGTTTACTTACCTCTCTTTTATGGATGTGTGAACGTAATCAGTTATCGCACGGGCAGCGTTTTCACTGGTAGCTGTGTCAAGGTGCCACCTACTCACAACTGCTCCTGAACATGCATCCAGCACTAGGAAGAATATCCCACTGCTATTGAACAGGAACACTGTGCCATTTATCTGTAACAAAAAAACAGAGGTAGGTTTTATGGAGGCAGGCTGGAGAGCCTCAGACTGTGATCCTGCTTCTCCATAAGGGAATTGCAAGTAAGAAAAATATCTACATTTTAAAAATACCTATAATTTTAAAATGTATCATTAGTACAGATGAAGTGACCTCATGGATAGTTGGTCAGTGGCAGGAGGAAGCAAAACCCTTAGTTCTCAAGGGGTACAAAAACATGAGAAATGAGGTCATCAGCATCTTCAGTGGATTAGGAAGATACATTTGGGAAGCCAAGAATCCCAAGAGTAAAATGCTTAGTTCAGCCTTAATACAGTTTCCTTTCATGTGGGGGAAATTACTGTCACTTGGCAAAGTGGATTTGACCACAGAGCAAGAGAGAGGTGCTGAGACAGCAGATGGGGGAATAGAAGTAACACATGCACTTTGTTGTTTTCTCTGAAAATTTAAATATCAAAACCAAACTATTCCTCCTTGGTAGGGCTGTATCAATGCCTCAAAAAAGTTGTAGCAGAAATGGCTCCTACTCTTCTTCTTTCCCACAGCAAGAGCTCCTTCCCCAAGTTACACTTCTCAAGACATGCCACAGTATTTACTTTTAGAAAGCCAAAAACTCTTTGAGGTAGCTGGCACTGGTGCATTCCCCCAGCATCCTGAGGGACAGCTAATCCTGAGACAACACAACCTCCATCAAGGAGAGCAACAGTGTACCAAGGCCAGAATGAACCCAGGATACACAAGAATTCCAAAGCCCATGCAGCATCAGGGAGCTCAGAGGCATCCCATCAATCTGAGACATGAATGTCTCCAGGGAATATAGGGCCAGACCGAATGAGGGAGCCAAGTGTTAAAAAGTGGCTTCTGCAAGATGTCAGGGGATGCTGAAAGCAATAGGGGGTCAAGGGTAAGGAAACATGAATCTCCAGGCCATGGGTGGCCAGAGGGGAGTGAAGAGGAGCAAAGACAGACTAAATCTTTTGCCTGCCCTGGCTGTCTGGCACTCCTAAGCGTGGGAAGTGTGACAAAGTCTGGGTGCACGCGCAGCAGAGAGCAACCACCACTGCAAACAGACCCAAGTGTGAGCCTCTGCCAAAGAAACAGCTCTGATGTGTGTCTGTCCCACATCCACGTGCTACAAACCCCCAGAGGAGACAACACACGGGTCCCCATGGCCCCACGGGACTGGAGCAGGGCTCACCACACCCGGCTCACTCAGCCCGTGGGAAAGCTTGGATCAGAAATTTAAAACATTTCTGACCTTTGCATCTCATTTAGCAAAGCAAGAACAAAGCATGTACTTCTTTATTTCCAAATTCTCTGAATCTTTTGAGATTTAGGGTGAGAATCCTCCTTTAGACATTAATCTTTACCATTTGCCTAGCCCAGCCTTTACTGCAGCTAGGAGTACATGTGTTAGATATAAAACTTCCTTAGGAAAACAGCACTTTGCATTAAGGCCTTAGAAAAGGCAAAGAACCTTTGAGGACACTACACCCATCCCATGAGTGCTGCACATGCAGAGGTGTCTGTGCTTCACCACGAGTGAGGGTGCTGCCTCCAGTGACACCTGCTTGCTAATGGTTTTGAATAAATTTTTGATGATGCAGCCAGTGCACTAGCAAGAAACCTTGGCTGCTCAGACTTCTTGAGGATGCTGTACCAGCTCTGCTTGGCATTTGTTAGCATTGATTAGAATTCAGTAGCACACAGGCATGTAAGCCTGGACAGTGTTCTTGTGAGAATGATTCCAATCACCCTCCACTGTCTAGACAGATATAAAAGGCATGTGCAGGGACAATCTGACAGCTCCAAACTGCTTCAGTAGTGAAATACAGTTATTTTTATCTTTTAGTGCAATACCAGTGGAGAAAATCAGGAAAACAAACTTGTTTTTTCCCCCACATCCTTTGTAAACAATGACTTCTGCTTTTTCCTCCCCTTCTTCTACATTAGAGTGGTGGTGTTAATTCTTTTTCTGAGATGATAAAAGGCCTTTTTTTCCCTTAAAGGCTCAAATCCTCATCTGAATAGAATAGGAACTCCCAGTGACTTTAATGGAGTTAATTGTAAGGGAGAACAATGCACTTGCTTCTTCCAGGGGAACTTCCCATTTCCTTCTGCCAAGGCTCAGCAAGATTCTGCAGTAAATTTCCTTGGAGATAAAGTTTTTTCTGTTTAACCACTACTTAAAATGCAGTAAAACACAACATACCTTAATGAACGCAGATGTCAAGTGGTTTTGCGTGTCCACCCTGCTGAGAGATTGGATCTGGACCCTTATATACTCGACTGAGGGTGTGCTGGTGATGGCAACCTGCAATTACACCAGAGACAGAACCTTAAAAGTTGGCTTGCTAATCGGTTTTCATCAGCAAAATGACACCAGGTATCCATGCTTGTATATACACGATTACAAAACTTAGAGTCCTTTATTCAAATTGTGGTCTTGATTCACAATTAAGTGCTCATTATTGAGACAGCCTTTATCAAAAGATTGTGGGAATGCTGGTTGGAAGAGACCTCTGATGGTGACTCTGCCACTAAGTAAGTTTAAAAGTTGAGTATGGATTTCATATATTTTGCTTGAATATAAACTCAAGTGCAGGTCTGTAGGAGTCTGAAACAGTTCTACAGGATTTAGAGTGGGATGAATTTACAGTAAACAAAGAGAAAAGCTGGCTCTAATTTTCCAGGTATTCCTGTTAACCAGAATTACTTCCCAGTTTGAAATACAGCAGCAATGCTGTACTTCTGAATTCAAAGCTACTTCAAAATAAGCCCTCCCAAGAGTCCTTTTGTTTAAGTATAAAAAAAAGAAAGGGGGGAAAAGGTGCCATGAATGTGCATCCACATGCTTCCAGTTGGGCAATTTCTTTGAGGCAAGCTTTGAAGCATAGTACAGAAAGCTGCAGCAATTCAGAGCAAAACCCTCCCCTTTACATAGGTTACGTGATGCTGGGCAGATTCACGTGTGGGAATTCCCTGCGGCTTCTCCTTATAGGCTGTCAGAACAAATTGACCACGCGTGGGTTCACACACATTGCACAACCTTCAGAGGCAGATTCGTGCATCGTGGTGGTACCTGTGGGGCTCCACACGCCCTGCACAGCCCGGCTGGGCTCTGGGACATGAGATGCTGGGCAGCCACTGGCCTCTCAGGGAAGGGGTTGGGGTCACAGCTCCGGGAGTCCCCCGGGCTCATGTGCGCCGTGATTTTGATACGTTCACAGCCTTGCTGAGAGCAGTAACTGTGTCCTTCCCGAGCTGCGTGGGCTTGCAGGTGAACAAACAGGTACCTACAAATGGGAGCAAACAGAGGCATCAGACCCCCACTGCGGGCTTAGAGGACAAGCTGAGCAGAGACAGGATCTGCACATCCATTGCCAAGTGGGTCCTGCAAGGATGCAGGTCGAGCTCCCCTCTCATACTGGTGTGACAAGACCTGCAGCACTTGCAGCCCACATGCCCAAGCCTTCACCACGCAAGCAGCACGTGGGACAGACCCCCAGACATCCCACCAGAGAAGGAGCAGCAGCTGTGCATAGGCTGCTGTGCAGAAGGAGACAGGTTTGCTTGGAATTATGAGCATTGGCCCTTCAGCTTGCTTCATGGCAGAGCTCAGCCCTAGGCATGCATGACAGAAGCTCCAAGGCAGCCAGGCCTTCTGGCCTTTGGAGTTCATTTTTATTTCTAACTGTTCCAAGTATGTTTTCAGTCCTGCCCATGCTACAATTCAGACTGAAGAAATTATATAAACAGCTCAGTTCAGATTCAGGATCAAAAAGATACATGAGCTTTGCATGGAATTTTCACTCTATTTCTTTTAAAACTAAATATTTTGTTTCTTTTTGTCTGTGAGAAAGAATGAGTAAGCTTGATTCCTTTCCAAGGATGTGGGGTTAAAAAAAGAAGGGGAAACATCCCACTCATTATGAAATAAAGTCTAAAAAACAACAACAGGAAAAGAAAAATGCCAATCCTGTAACTTCTGTACTCTGACAGGCTAAAAAAACCACTGCTGAACTAAACAGAGAACCAAAATGCTGATACTACCAGAATTTAGTTAGGTTAGACCCATCAATCTGCGTGTGCCAGGTCCAGATGGCTGCTGGCAGCCCATGGCTTTTCCCCCACAGACCCACACGTGTGACCATTTTCCCTGCTATTCAGTAGTAAACAACCTGTTTACAAATTTTGGGCAACCTTTTTTTTTTTTTTTTTTTTAAGGAGGATTAATTAGCAATTTGATGTTTCACAATTCCTGTGATGAGAGAGACCTGGCCATCAGCAAGGAGCCTGGTTAGCAAGGAAGGCATTCCGGGATTTGATTGCTCATGTGTTATGGTTGAATGAATAAATATATCCCATCTTATTTTCAAATCTGGCATTTGTGGATTGATTCCTGAAGTAGCTACTTAGTCAGGTGAAGCATCATGGGACTCATAGTTAAACCACAAAACACTTTTTTCCTCCCTATTTTAGCTGACTGAGAAACACAGTTTCGCAATATGTTTTTTTTAAACCAAAGGTGTCCTAAAGCCTTTCAAAGACAGTGTAAGATTTATAGGACCATCTTCACACCTTCCAAATGAGAGATGTGCTGTGGCGCTCTCCTTTTTTCACAAAATCTGATTTTTAGAACGTGATTGTTTTAGAAATCTCTCTTCATGGGGATATGCAGAAGTTGAAACTTCCCAAACTGTCTCAGTGTTGGAGCCACAGCAGTTGCAAAAGGGCTCTTTCTCGTGGCCCTTTGGGGTACAACGAGTTCAAACAAATATTTACACTGTGCCCACACCTGCAGCAGGGATGCACAAGGTGTTCAGTCCAGCCAAGAAATCAGCCATCCTCTGGGCAGGAATGCAAATCACTGCTTAGATGCAGACACAGACCTGTCCCAGGTACTCCAGCCCGGAAATCCGTTTTGACCTGAAATCCGTGAAGAAAGCATGCAAGGTGGACAGACCTGAGTTTTAGCTATGAGAAAGAAGAAAGGAGGTGCTGGGGCTGGTAACCCCAAGGGCTCTTTGCCCACCCAGGGGCACAGCAGGGCTCACCCTGATGCTCTGTCGAAGTAGAAGAGCCGCTCACGAGTTCTGTTGAGAGCGATGGAAGGAGCAGCAAGGTAGTGCTGGACGCTGTGCACCGTCCCCGTCCGTCGCTGGTAGATATCTCCCACCACCTGGAAAACGGCTCCCCTGGGGTAGCAGAGGGCGACACGCAGCCAGTCTCCTCTGTCGGCAGAAAGGGCAGGCGGGGGGAAAGGGAAAAAATGCACTTCAGGGCTTGAGCACAAGAGAGATGGTCTGCAGCCAAGAGTACAGTCTTCAGGGGAAAACAAAGAAATGTCCTTTGAGGTTCTCTTTTTCCTTTAAAAAAACACAACAAATCCTCAAAGCCAAAGAAAATCAGATTTTTTTTTTTTTGCTTTGTCTGGAAACAACGGCTGCTTATTACGAAGGTCTGATCCAGGGACCCCGGCTGACCTCAGAGGACTTTGAGACAGGTGCCAGGATGGCTTAAAAGCAGATATTTTCTCTTCCTTGCCCCATAAGGCTGAGGTACAACCAGTCACATACCCACTCACGTCTCCTGAGGCAGCCGGGGCTTGTTTCAGTCCATCCGGAGCTGCTGCAGGAGGGGGAACCAGCATCCAGCAGACATTTCACCGGGGGCACAGATTCAGGAATTACAAAGTAATCTCTGACTTGAACCAGAGCCACGATCTAAAGAGACTTGCTTCCTCCACTTTACAGCAAAGGTTATTATTATGGTTTCCATTAAAATCTCCCTCTCTGAGGCTCTTCCTTCAGTGTCAGTTTAGAATAACTAAGGGTTAAGTTAAATTACCTTTTAACTCTTGTTTACCCCAATTTTGGTGTGCACATTTACAAAAAAATTGCCCCCATGGCTTTCCTTCCTCCTGTGGTTCCCACTGTCACTCTCTTGCAGAGAAAAAACAGCTCCAAATTAGAAACCTTTGGTACAAGACTTAGAGCCAAAGATGCAGTTAGAGTGCAATTCAGACACTGATGGGAAGGATCTTCCACAAAAGATCCCAACACCCTTTCCTGTCTGTGAGATGCACTTGTGCTGTGCAAACCAGAAAGCCACAAGAAGTTTACACTTAAAAAGAAAAACTGAATACCAAGATAATTAGCTCTTTTTTCCCTCCTTCCTTCCCTCTCAAGTGGCTCAGCCTGTAACACCAGGACTCCTGAACCAGTACTGTTTGCTTTCCTTATGTCACCAAAACCATCCAGGATTTAAATGTATTTTTTTAACTTCCTGGGTAAAATGTGAGAATATAAATTTGGCTTAGAGAAAGACAAACACCACCTTCATTGTCTGTCTCTCTGCATCCTACACACCTCAGTTTCTCCAAAGGCTTCCCTCAAGTGACCTGCCACCCATCCCTGACTGCAGAGCAATAAATGGGTGGAAACCACTTCAATTTGGTGAAATCTGGGAACCTGCATGCCTAGACCTCTGCTTTACACATGGAGAGCAATAAAGCAAAGCTATTTCGGCCTTGTTCTGTTTTTTTCATTAAAACAAAACAAAGCTATCTACAGGATTGAAGAGGGGACAGGCTGTTCTAGGATAATAAATCAAAGCCACACAAAGACCCATCAGCTTAAGCCAGATACTGCCCTCTAGATTTTAACCAACTCCAGCTGTGTCATAACACAGGACAGCTTGAAAACGGATATATTTTCAGATGATCTGGTCTCTGACTAGAGGAAATGAAAGAAATGTACCAAAGCCATATTTGTGTAATATTTTTAGGATGGAGTCCCAAGACATTTGGCTGTTTCATGAGGGTGATTTGCGTTGTGTTAGCACATTTCATCCCCTGAAGTCACCGTCACAAAAAGAGCTGGTCACTCCCCTAGATGCTGGGAACCAGCTTTGGTGCTGTGCTACACTGACTGCCACCTCCCCAGGGAATGAGAAAGGCATTAGAACAGGACACTGGAGGGTGAAAGTGGAAAAAAAAGGTATGAAAAACCCACAGCTGTGACTGTCTTGAGTTGCCGGGCCATTTGGGAATAGGAGTGCTGCAGTCTAGTGTGCACATGAGCTGAGTGAAGTCCTGAAATAAATTACACCAGGATCGGAAAGATCAAATGAAAAGCACCTACTTTGGAATTTGTGGAGGAAGAGATGGAAATCAGTACATTCCCACAACAAAGGGCTTGGGAGAAGATGTGAGAAGAGAAGGCATTAGAAGTTATCCTCTATCTAAATATAGGAAGGAATAAGGCGGTTGTTTTCTCTCTAATTTAGCGGTATTATAACAGCTTCCTATTTAGTTCTGCACTTCAGTTCTGTTTCTTCAGCTTGTGCAAAACCCACCATAAAGCCTCCAAAATGCCTGGCTGTGTGGCTGAGCTGAGCTCCAGCACCTCCAGGAAATCAAAGCAAGAAATATCAAAGCAAGAGATGCCAGCACAGCTGCTGTCCCTGTGCATGGCATAATCCCTGTGACTCTGCCTTTGAACCGGGCACTGGATGGGGGTGAGATGCCATTGCCAAAACTGAGGGAGAAATGCAGCCTCAGGCAAAGCAGTAATCAGGCATGAGACATCCTGGACGTTGAGTCCAAAGTAAAACAGATATATGTGTATCTTCCTCAGCCACTGCACTGGCCACCAAGGACCTCCTGGCTGGTCTGAAGCACAGGAAACCTTCCTCTTTGTCAGGGTGGTCAATAACTGTGGGTTCTGTTTTATTTCTCTGCTTCAGCCTCTCAATTCTGTATTATTTACCAGCTGCTATTCTGGGATGAATATTTGTAGGCAGAATAAGAAAAATTTGAACCAGCCTAAATATGTTGTAGGTAAGTCCTAGTTTTGCTGCTCGCAGTACCAGCACATGAGCTGGGAATGTCACAGGTGCCCAGAGGCTTGGGGACACACACTGCACTGGCAAGGAATGAAAACACTGAATTCATAGCAGATCCCAAATTATGAATTCAAAGTAATTTCAGAGCTCTGCCTGAAGGCTGGGGGAGCGTATGTAGCTTTAGGTGCTCTTGTGTTTAAAGACCAGCACAAACAAAGGGGGAAAACTCACTTAAAACACAAGGGTAGAAGTCAGACTTGATAAACAAAATGCCAATGTAGCAATACAGAGGACTTTTTTTTTTTTTTTTGGTCTTCAACTTTCATTCTTAGGAATTTCTTGTAAGAGAAACAAATTGAAATATTCTCAGGTAGAATGTCTGACTTTCCAGTTTAAATGAAGGTCATACTCAAATGTGTAGAAAACTAATTTGAGCTATTTAACGTATTTGCACCCCAAAGCTAAATAATTGTGTCATCAAGCTTTTCAAGTGAAAAAGTTAATTTCATTTTATAAATAAGTAACATTCTTCTTTCCTTTTTGCATTCTTGTTCTTAATCAGTTCAACATTTTTCTTTGTGTTTTTGCTAAAAAAGAAAAAAAAATTGGCATTTGAAGGAGAAAAACTTTATATACACTAGCAAAAAGAGTTTAGTAGGTCCTAACAGTTTCAAACATCACTTGGAAAATCTTTGAGAATCTGCTGACACCAACATGTATAAAACCTGACACTTCTGCCCCTCCGTCACTGTCATTCAACAATCCCCACAGTGCACTTCATGCATTTTTACCAGTGTCTTTAGCCTGCTTATTTTCTTTTGGAAATGGCTCTTTTTTTTCACCAGAATATTGGCATTTGCAGTTCTGGCTCTTTCAGGTGAAGCAAAAAAACATCAGACAAAGTGTTAAAAAAGTATTCTTATGTTTGGGCAGTGAGCAGGCTTCCTGGGATAAGCAAAAGCATAAAAAGGACAAGGGAAAGGCAAAAAAGCAGACAAGAGGTTTCCTGTTCTTGGACATGTGGTAGATACAGATCTGCACGTACACACATACATACCTCATTTACAACCCTCAGAACATCCCCCCCAGTTCAACCCCAAACTCTCAAAAGCAAAGACACTCAGAGAAACATGATCAAACAGGCAAAGGAGGGGAGACCTTTGTCAGTGGTGGGATGTAAAGTGAGTCATGTAACTTGGAGATGAGATTTGGCTGGAGTAAACACAGGAAAAGGGCATGTCTGCAGCTCTTACTGCCTGTGAGAGGATAAATAACACTTGTTCAACACTGTGAGCAATTCACAGCATTGGCTGCATCGGATGGAGTGTGAGTCCTGGGCAAATGGGTATCATCTAGGGTTGGAGTTTCTGGTTATGCTGGATGTCAACCCTGGCTGCATTTTAGCAAAGGGAACCTCTACACTGATGAATATTATTCTAGAAAACAGCCCCACCATGTTTACTGACATGGTGTGTCATGTAGCTGATGACCATGGAAGTGCACAGTCCAAATCCTGATCTCACTGATGAAAATCTGGGGTAAGCTAATGAGGGAAGGCCATAGAGTACAACTAAAAATTACTTTTTTTTTTTTCCTTGGGCTTGAAAAAACAAGAGAGTTCTATCCAGTGAGTCAGTCTCCCCCAACTGTTATTACTCCTATTTAAAAACAAGCCCTCTGACATTTTGTCATCTACATGAGCTGAACTTTCAAAGGGAGTGAGAGAACCAGGAATTTAAAACTTCCCTGTTCACAATATGGGAACAAAGCAGAAATCCTCACATACTCCTTTGGTGAGTTTGTCTCTCACAAGCTGCATTTTAAACTTCAAAGGACAAAAAAAAAAAGCATAGCCACCATTCAGCCTCCAACCCATCCCAAGAGTAAATCAGAGGAGGTCAATGCTCCTTGCTCGCAGTCAGGATACAGCTGGTTTTTCCCTCAAAACATTTCTCCCAACCTGACCTTCTCTTCAAGTCAAGTCCATCAAACACACCCCAAACCCCCTGCGATGACAAACATGGCTATTGGGTGAACATCCAGCCAATTTTTTTAGGGCCATGTTGTTAAGGATAGACTCTTCTGGACTGTTGCAGGGATAGTAACAAGTCAGGTATGTGTTTAGCTAACTAGATTTCTGTGTATTGGTATTTAAATGCCTTTCCTAAATGTTGCTATTTAGGAAATGCCATTAAAAATATAATATCTTAATATAAATTAAAATTTTTTGTTTTATCCACGTGTCTCCTTGGGCAAAAAGAATGATTTTTGCTTTTGTGAAGCTCAACAAATTACAGGAGGGATCCTGCCCTGAGGTACAGTTCTGCTGATCCTCATGAAACCAGGGTCTGACTCAGACAGCATTTGGCTTGCAGATAAATGTATT